TAGCCCCTTTAATCTCTCAAAATGTAACAGCTTTCCAACCCCACTGACTTCAGGGCAAACGTCGGGTGACACACTTAACTTAGGAAAAGGTAACTGTATAGGCCCACTCTCTAAAGAAAAATTCAAAAACTGCAAAAGAGGAGGAGGGAGAGCAGCTTTCAAGCCTAAAATCAAGTGCTCTACCACCCTCACAGACCTCAATTCAACATGCCTGGCAATCTCTTCCGCTGATCTCCACTCTTTTGAGTCTAAGTTAATCAAGTGTCCCACTTTAGTGAAACCTTTCATCATACATAACTTAACTATACTATTAGATATACAAACATTTCCTAAAAAGGAATTAAAAAACAATGGTTCATTCAAACCGTAGTGATCATTTTCAGACCTATACACCCTAAATACATTCCAAAATTTTAAAACTGATACATAAAAATTAACACCAGATGTGACATTTTCATTAAAAGATGACATCAAAAACAGTTGTTTATCAAGCTCAACACCACAAAAGGATCTTAATACAGCTAGCCCAAAAAAAAGAAGTCTCTGTGCAGATTTTAGTCTCATACCTCTGACTTTTGCTAACAATTCAATCAGTCCTTGTCCTCCTTCATTTACTGGCAAATATAAAAAAACAGAAGGAAGCCAGTGAAACCCATCCCAAAAAAAATCAACAAAAACCTTCTGTAGTTTTTGTAGTAGATCTCTTGGGGGGTCAATAACAGTCAAACGATGCCATAGCATTGATGCTGCTAGATTGTTTACAACAAGAACCCTCCCTCTATAAGATATTTTAGCAAGGATCCATTTCCATTTCTGTAAACGCCCAGCCACCTTTTCATAGAGGCCTTCCCAATTTTTTTCCATGTATTGCTCTGTTCCAAAGAAAACCCCCAGCACATTAAACCCCTCTGAACTCCAGGGGCAGCGCTGAGGAAGTTTTGGAATGCCTTCTTCCTTCCATTGGCCTAATAACAAAGATGTACTTTTTTTCCAGTTGACTCGAGCTGAGGAGGCTTTTTGATAGATCTCAAGAGCCGCTTCCAGATTGTACACATCTTTATTTGATCTAATTACGACTGTGACATCGTCTGCGTAAGCACTGAGTTTAACATTTACCATCTCTGAAGTAGAAAATCCCACCGTTGAAATTCCACAAAGTTGATGCCTCAGAGCAGTTAACAAAGGTTCAATGGCAATGGCATATAAAATGCCTGACATACTACATCCTTGCCATATGCCTCTGCCAACTTGAAAAGGTCTTGTGAGTGAACCACTAATTTTCAAAATACTATAAATATCAGTATACAACAATTTCACGTAAGAAATAAATGAA